TGCGCGTGGGGCGGTTGAACGAGGACGAGCAGAGCACTGCGCGCTCCCCCCGTGCGCCGCTGGGCTTCTCCCCGCTGCCACCCACCAAGCCCGTGAGTCAGCCGCGCAGCAACACGCCCACGCCCACGCACGTCATGGGTGCTCGCGCTGCTGCCACCAGCGCTACTGCGCCGATCGCTGCTGTCACCAGCGCCGTTGTGAAGAGTGCTGCCAGCAGCGCTGCTGTTAAGACAGCTTCCGTGAAGAGCGTTCCTGTTAAGACCGCAGTTTCAGCAGCCAAGGGAACGCGTGCATCTGCAGCTGCACCAGCCAAGGCTGCTAGAAGCGTTCCTGCTAAGCCTGCAGCTGCAGCAGCTAAAGAAGCGCCAGGCATGGCCACTCGTGTGACGCCTGCAGCTGCTAGGAGTGTTGCTGTTAAGAGCAGCCCAGTGGGGTCGGTGGCAACAAAAGCGGCAGGGGAGAAGGCGAGGGAGCAGGGCAATGGGAGGGCAGCACACACAGCGGTGCGTGCAGCAGCAGGGAAGGCTGCGTTGGTAGGGGTGGAGGCAGCAGGAGGGCGTGCAGCAGGTGTGAGGTCGGGTTCAGGGCGTGGTGGCGGTGGTGCGACTCTAATCCCTCAGCCTGGGCAGAGCAGGGCAGCGCACACGGCTGCAGCGGCTAAGGCAGTGCAGGCTGCGCCTCACAGCACTCGTAAACCGGCTGCTGCAGCAGCAGCAGTGGCCTCCACTCGCATTCCCAAACCACGCCCCGCTGCAGCCAGTGGCATTCTCAAGCCACACAGCACAGCACCCAAGGGAAGCAATGAACGGTGATGAAGCAGCATCAGGAGCATTAGCAGTAGCATCATTTGTAGCTACAAGCAGATCCAGAGCCTTAAAAATGGCATGTGGAGGAAGGCGTGGTGCGGTGAAGGTGGGATGAGCATGGCTGGTGGAATGAGCATGGCTGGTGGGGGCTGGTGGCAGGCGCATGGCGGGACTTACCCCTTTTTGCACCCTGCTTGCAGGGTGTTGTGGGAGAGATGGCAGGAGAGGTGGAGGCATGTGGCCAGCTGGAAGGTGGTATGCGCTGTGGGGAGGCTGGTGGCTGAGCATGGCGATGGATCTGCTGCAATAGAGTTCATGGTCTTAGCTAGGATTTCCTTGTTTAGTGATTGTGGTCTTAGCATCTTGTAACTATTTGTATTGCATATATCAGATGTGGTTTCACTCTCTTGTACTACCTGGTGTTGGGGGAGTGGAGAAGTGAAGCAGGAGGAGGTGAGGAGCGTGGAGTGGTTTGAAGTTGGGTCGTTGTTGTTTGTTGTCTTGCTTTCGCCATTCTCCCCGCCCCCTATTCTGTTCCAATGCTGCCCGTTGCCTATCCTGAACCATCTTCCCAGTCAGTTTTTTATTGCCTTTCCACTGTCATTTTCCCATTGCCCCTTTTCCACAGCCACTTCCCTTTTTGCCATCTTTCCCATTGTTATGGTTCCACTTCCATCATGGCATGCAACTGCCATGTTCCCATTTTCGTGCTTCCACTCTCACCATGCAACGGTGATGCTCGCAGTGGCAAGAAATTGCATGGGTATCTCATGCTGATTTCGTCATATTCCCACTACTCATACTCCCCCATGTTACCTTACAACTGCCATGATCCCACTGTCATCTCCCCACTTTCAAACTCCCCCTGCCATGTTTCCCCCCACAGATTATGTCCACGCCACACTGTCCATCCCCCATTTCCCTGTACGACTGCTGTTTACTATCATACCACTTTCATACTCAGCGTGATGAGGCGGATTTTGAGTCTCAATCGATCTTTCAATCCCATGTGAGCTGCCTTAGGAAAATCCAAATAAACCCCTCTGTTAACTTCCCTCTGTTGATTTTGCCAGTGTCGTTTTCCTTCCTTTACTGTTTGTCAAGATTCTGATGTCACTTCATTTCTCCCATTGTCCATCTCTCTGTGAAGTTTCTCCTTCAGTCATGTTACTCACTGCCTCATTCCCCACTGCCTCATTCCCCACTGCCTCATTCCCCACTGCCTCATTCCCCACTGCCTCATTCCCCACTGCCTCATTCCCCACGCATTTTGATCCACCTGTCTGCCCCGTGCATGTGAGCCATCGCAAGGCAAGGCCATTCCTCTCCCCTCTCTTACTTTCTCCCCTATCAATCCCCCCATTCCAAAATTTTCTTCTGCCATTCATTCTGGCATGTCTGTTAGTCATGCATTCTCGCTCGTCAAATCATGCTAGTTGTCTGGACATGCCTTTTTTCTCAAGTGTGTATGTCATGCCTCCCATTTCGATCCCCATACACCATAGCCATTTTTCCACCTTCTCACCTTCTGATATCCTCATGATCCCATTCTGTTGGACCCATTTTTTCATGTTTCAAATCAACTTCTCACTCCCATGGTTCCAGCAAGTCATGTTCTTGTCAACTGCTTGTTGTACCCTCCCAGCTTCCCACAGCCGTTTTCATTCAACTTTTCAATGCCTTCTTTTTCGTTCAGTTTCACATTCAACTTTCGATTTGCATTGTTCACTTACCTGTGGTTTGCTGAGTATTTTCACCTGTCCTGCCTATTTCACTTTCTCATTTGTGACTTGCCTTGTCAGGTTCTTACTGCCACTTTTCCGACTGGTTTCTCGTTCCATTATGTCCGATCAGCTTGCCATTTCTTATTGCCGATTCTCCTGCTACATTTCCCCATTGTCACTTTTCTTTGTCCATATTTTCATTGTCATTTCTCCCCCCCCCAGCCTTGCCATTGCATGCCTACCTGCCTGGTTGCCATGCACTCATGACACCATGATGGAGCAACGCCCACCCGCCTACCGTCGCCCGTCCCCCCCCATGCTCCGCTCACCGTTCCTCACCTATCCATGCTCGCTCTCCTCACCGCACCATGGCATCTCTTCCCTCTGTCAACGTGCATTTGATTTCTCCTCAGGCCCCTACCTAGTTGTAATCTTCCCATTGACATGCTGTTATTGGCGTAATCATATTGACATCATCCCAATATCATCTTCGCATCTTCATGATTCGAGTGTCGTCGTTTCACTAACTTCATCGCAGCGTGATGTTCCCACTGTCGGGCTTTCACTAACACGCCACTACTCCACAGCCGTCTTTCCATGGCCATTAGACCATTCTCATCCCCCTGAACCTCATCCCAATCTTTCTGTAGTTGCTTTTCCACTGCCCAAATCACCTTTTCATTGTCACTCTGCACAAAGTTAGCACTATTGCCTCTCTCATATTCTCAACTTTCCTTCGTCAAATCTCCTCTAATTGCAACAGCATGTTGTTGAGAATATGTTTGTATGCTTTTATTATACGGTAAGTGCACTGTTCGAAGTGTGCTTACAGGGGCTCGCCATAGCGAGGGATTTGAAACTGGGGCGAGTCAACAGGGCGCAACCGAGCACAGCGGTTGCGATCCGCGTGGCAGCTCAAGAGTCGAATCGACAGTAGGAGTCATCGTCTACAGTACGCGAAACTGACCTGTGGGGCGCGGCAGGATACCGCGCCCTTGCCGAAGCTGAAAAGTCTCGCCAGCGCGACTGTAACAAGGCAGCCCAAGCGACGCAGCGCAACTGTTATACAGTTTCGCCCAGGGCTCTCGTTATCAGATCATTTTGGTCTGATGGTCTGATTTTCAGACTCATTTTTTTATATCCATCTGATTTTCCAATCTGGATCAGACAAAACAATTGTTTTGCCTGGGGGACCCGTCTGACAGAATCAGACGCCCTCAGATCCTAGCAAGAGCCCTGGTTTCGCCTTGGTAACTGTTTGCCCTATGCATTTGCTATATAACAGAATGTAATGCCTTGCTCATATCACACAATTCCCAAGCTTGTGTCGGGCCTACCCTCGGCCGCTGCTTTGGCACCACGTTACAAGCCAGGAGAGCTACCTCTGAGTGACCAATAGCCCCGCCGTAGGGACGTCGTTAATTCCTAGAGCTTCCGCTGCGCTCTAGCGACTTCTTATTTCCAACACATGTCTCTTGTTTGCTTTATGCTCTCCATGCATCACTACCTCACCCACCCACCCAGCACCATGTGGGAGCATCAGAACAGGCACATTGGACGAGCCTGTCCATGTTGGGCAAACAGCATGGAGGAGGTGCAAACAGCCATTCAGCTGCAAGCATGCCCTAGAGAGGTTCTTTCTTAATACCAACGAAATTCGCCGTAGCAGTTTCCTGGTAATTTTGATTGGTCTGATTTCCAGAATGAGCAATGAGATTAGATTAAGGAATATATATTTCTCTCTTGCAAGGCATTATGACCATTAGTAAAGCAACCGCATGGCACCGCACCCAGTCTCCAGCAAGCACATCGTTCACGCTGTCCTCGCTGCAGCTCCTGTCAGTTTCTCGATCTGCGTGGAGCGCGCATCCCCACTCCATAATCCAGCATCGAGCAAAACGCACGTCGCCCGTTGACGAGCTCTATGAGTCAGCGCCACCCATGCACTTTTCTTCAGTGAGCGGCTCAGCGCTTCGACGGCTCTTTTGGGGCTCGGCGCGGATGCAGCGGAGCGACAAACGGAGATGAGGTCAACGCGGAGAGCGCAGCAGTGTGGCAGCAGCGGCGTACCTCCGCGGAAAATAAGGCTTAGCGTGCGCTCATGGGGGAAGGGGGGGTGAGAGGGGCGTTTCGCTAGCGGCGGTGGTGTTAGTGTGATGGAGGACGCGTCGCTCTCGCGAGGCTTTTCGGTGCGTTGAGCCTTTCGTGCGCTCATGCCCTCTTGCTGGAATCTCATCCGCTCTCGCGCGTCGACGCGCATCCCCTTTCCAACCACCTCGCGTTGCATTGCAACTGCGAGCCTCATCGCGCGGCATACCAAATGCAAGAGAGCCCTTGTCTCGCGCGTCGCCGTCCGTCTCGTCGCGCACTCGTACCTCCCACCGCTCTTCGCTCTTCCGCACCCCCCGCGCCAACCCCGTGGGGGCGGCTTCTTTCCGCGCGCCGCTCCTCCGCGTCGCCTCCGTGTGACCTAGCCATCAGCACGGGTTTTTCGCGAGCGGGCGGGAGGCGGCGAGTCTGCAGACGGAAGGTGGTTGCGGGGAACGCGAAGGGGCGGGGGGAACGTGCGCTGGCGCGGGGCTGAGCGCGGAGGGTCGGGGTTGAAGCGCGGATCAGCGATGGCGGCACGGTGCGGAGGCCCTCCCGTTGCAAGCTCCCTCGATAGACACAAGGCTGTGCTTCCCACCCAGGCAAGGGGGAAGGCAAAGGGGGGGGTAAAAGGGGAACGAAAAAGGGGGGGGGGGGGGGGGGGAGGAAAGGGGGAAGGGGAGGGGGAAGGGAAGGATGGATGGGCAAGAGTGCACTCCTGGCGAAGCAGAAAACACGGGCCAGCCAACTCACTCATGCCTGTCTCCTGCTGCCATTTCCTGATCACCACACCTTCCATCTGCTGCCCACCTACCTCTCTTCCCTGCCCCCTGCCCCCTGCCTCCACTGACTGCGCTTCAGGGCGGAGGACAGTTCCCTCGCCTCGCACAGAGGGGGCATGTGGTGAGGAGGGAAGAGGGCTGCTCCCTACCACTGCTGCTGCACTCACCACTGGTGAGAGGGCAGCAGCGGAGCGGCAGTGGTGGCAGCGGCGCAGGAGGCGAGGAGGCATGCGGACGGATAGCATGGGAGTGGCGTCGAGCGTGGCTGACTCGGTTAAATGCGACTGTGGCGGCGGAAAAATGGCAGCATGATGGGAGCATGATGGGAGCATGATGGGAGCATGATGGGAGCATGATGGGAGCATGATGGGAGCATGATGGGAGCATGATGGGAGCATGATGGCAACTTGATGGCAACACGCTGGTAGACGAAGTTGGAGGGGAGGAGGGGCGAGCAGTTGCGGGGCGAGTATGGTGTGGGGGGATGGCGCATGGTGAGTGGCAGCGAGGGCATGGTGGGTGGAGCATGAGGAACGTGACAGTCTGTTCAAAGGTGGGGGATGGAATGGCAAAGAGAAAGGGGGGTGACGAGGGACAAAGGTGGGGATGCTGGAGAGGCTGGGAAAGGCATGTGGTATGCGGTGCAGGCAGGATGGATGGATGGCGCAACTTGCTATCTCCACTTTGTCAGTCAGTTTTGCACTTTGATTTTCATGTCTCCCTCATGTGTTGATTGCTCGGTCTTCTCATCTTGCCCTTTGTTCAATCAACTGCACTTTGTCATTGACCCTGCCTACTTCCCTGCCTACTCTGATCTGTCGTTACTCGGTCATCTTTTCATTCATCGCCAATTTCACATGCCAATCTCAGTTGTAGACATGGCATGTCCCTCTGATGGTGCTGGAAGGAACACTTGGCCACCACACCATGCCACCGTGGGCCACACCATGCCACCGTGGGCCACACCATGCCACCGTGGGCCACACCATGCCACCGTGGGCCACACCATGCCACCATTCCTGCTGACTGCTGCTGTACATCAGATATGCTTCACACATGGTTGTCTCACTGACTTATGCCACACTCCATTCCACACTCACCTTGACCATTTTGCAGGCAGGATCTTCTGGGCCTCATGTTCTTCTCGCCTCTGAATCAACAATCGCCCTGCATGGGACACCCTTATCATATACGAAGACAGGACAGGACACTCTTTTTCTTTGTGTTGTGAGATTTCTGCAGGGGGACAGCTAAGATGCCGATGCCTGACAAATAATAAACTTGATGAGAACAGAAGTTGTGGGCAAGTATGGTGGGGCAGATTTGATCCTGTTTGGTGTATGGGGCCAAATATATGGCTCAGATTTGATCCTGATTGGTTATCTGAGCTTCTTGTATACGGAAGGCCTACCCGTAACCCTCTTGGGCCTGCTAATCGATTCTGGATGGAAATTCTATGTAAAAATTTTAAGCAGTCAAAGATTTGAGCAGCTAAAACAGTTCATTATGGAAGCATTGAGCTTTGTTTGCATGGATAGAATGGAGGTTTATTGACGTTTGTAAAACTATTCCGTAACCATTGTAGTAACGTATTCCATCGTCAGTCTATTCCACCTTACACCCCACCATCTCGACCTTGCCGTGTCTCGCTGTGGCAATGAACTGCCCTAGAATCAGCTGTTGTTCCACTACAGAAGTCCCTGGCGCTGAACCCGCCAACCGATGTCATGTTCATGCTGTCCGATTAGCCGCAGCCTAATCGTAGTCGCACATCGGGTTCGATTAGCACAGGTCGGATCTGTACATACTTCGATCAGCCCATGGGACCCACACGCCATGTCATTCTAGGCCGCCAGAGAACTAGCCTGAGTCAGATTCGATCAACGATGACATGGCGCAGCAAAGCTCAGGTGCGACTGGCTTACCCACACGCTTCGAAGGCTTACCAACTCTCTTCGGGAGCATTTCGAGCCACCGTTTCAAAACTTGTGGGTCCAAATATACCTCCGTGGCGAGTTCTCACGATATTGACCACGTCATCCATTCCAGAGCATCGCGGGTATCTCGGAAACAATTGTTGCTTCGGATGCCATTGGATCTGCCAGGTCGACATTTTCCGAGGCAAACGATCAGGCAACAAATTTAAACGTTAGCCTCGGGCACCGTACCTGGAACTCCCGTTGCCAATGGAACCCCCTTTTCCGCCGTCAGCTAGAGCGGCTCGTTTGTCAACGAACCGCTCAGCAGCATCCTGTCAGGACGGACTACATTCGTAGCCACGAGTAGAAAACCCTGTCTGACAGCCATTACGTTTCAGTTGAATCACATCGTTCTGTACTCACAGCTCGTTGCTACCCCCTTCCTCAAGCTTCGAAGTCTTCTTTGCGTCTGAGTGCTGATGGCCATGAAATCCCTCGCTGCGTGCAGCAAGGCTGACCACGACGACCTCTTCTACTGGGAAGAGGACCACGGATGCGTTCCAGCAGGACTGAAAAGCCACTACCTTCCTGCTGCCTCCGCTTCCGCCTCTCCCAGCTGGAGCGATGCAGCACGCAAGCGATCCACGCCTGCTGCTGCTGCTGCTGCTGCTCCAAGTGCAAAAAAGGCACGAATTTCCGAGGATTCTGAAGACGAATTCTCTTATATGAGCGAGTTGGACTTGCTGGAATTCCGCCAACGGTATCTTGACCCTGAAAGCATCTGCAGCAATGAAGGAAATGTGTCCTTCCTGTCAAAGGACGAGTTTCTCTCTTCCACAGGCAAGAAATCGCCTTGGATTATGGTTGAAAAATCTGCTGCTAGTAAGAATGATCTTAACAAGAGCAACAGGAGCGTGATGGTCTGCACCTTCAGCTCCAGCAGTGCAAACAATACGAGCTGCAGATCTGTGCAAACTCCTGCAGTAAAAGCCAGCACAAAAGATTCAGTGAAAAAAAGCTCCAACAAATGCCATACCTTTGAAAAAAAGGTTGGGTCGTCCAACCTGAGAAAGGCTTCTGCTGCTGTTGTCCCTGTTGACGCTGCTACTGCTCCAGCTGCTGCTAAGAACTCTGACATAAAGTCAAGGCATATGGCTGCTAAGTCAAGTTCTGATAAGGATGATGCAGCAAAGGTAAGAGTGGAAGGGACAACAGCTGATAAGGCATCAAATGGGAAGGCTAGGGGGACGAGGCGGATGAGGAGGTGGGTGAGTAGAGCTTGGTCAAGCATAGCCTCGAATAAGTGGCACAATGGCAACTGAGGTAAAGCTGGTGGAGGTGATGTGGAATGATGGTGGTAGGGGTACACCCCCTTTTTTCCATCCTGCCTAGCAGGATGTTGTGGGAATGATTGGAATGAATGGTGGATGGAGAGAAAGGAACGGTATGGGTGCCACTTTAGACTTAGTACTCATGTCTAGTCTAGTAATATTTGTATATACATCGTCTTTTCATGCTCTGGTATGGATGGGGGTGAATGTAATGTACATTGTGGAATGGAGGAATGAGTGTGAAGCAGAGAGTCTTGAGGTAGGCTGGTCACGTTTCATGTTCAGATTGGAGCAAGCATGGTGAATTCGAATGGGATTTGTGGTCAGTGCTAATTTGTAATGGTCAGAGCATGGAGCGATATGAATGATTTAATGCCAGACCATGCTGACAAGAATGAACACAAATGGTTAAGTTGAACAGAGAAGACTTTGAAAAGAGTTTAAGGTTGAGAAGTGATTTTCACTTGTTTAGTTTCTACCAGGACGATTGTCAGAGTGACCAAAATGATGGGGATGACAAGAGGATATGATATGAATGCGGATTGCAATGGCCATGAGAATGAGCAATCATTGTTAGAATGAAAAGCAGCAGCGGCCATGAGATTGTGAGGGAGTCCAGAGGTGTCATCATTCCACTGCCATGTTCCCACGATCATCAGGGTGGGGTTATAAGGGAAGGAAGGTGGAGGGTTTAAGCACGAAGGGGGATTGTTGTGGCAGTTTTTTCTTATCCTCCTATTCCCATTCCCCATGGACCATGGGAGGCTTACAATGTCACTCCCATTTACATGCATCATCCTGTTGCCATTCCTGCTTCCAGCTTCCCATTGCCATTTTTCACATCACTTCCATTTTTTTAATTCAGCTTGCCATTGCAATTTTCTTGTTGAGTTCCCCTATTGTACCTCATCCAGCCTTGTTGTTAGTTGTGCTCCGAAGTCTGGGATGACATGGGGAGATGAGAGTGTGGTTTGGGATGAGGTGAGGTAAGTGTGAGATGGGATGAGGTGAGGTAAGTGTGAGATGGGATGAGGTGAGGAAGTGTGAGATGGGATGAGGTTTAGGTAAGTGTGATGAAATGAGGTGAGGTAAGTAAGTGTGTGGTGGGATGAGGTGAGGTAAGTGTGTGATGGGATGAGATGAGGTAAGTGTGAGATGGGATGAGATGAGGTAAGTGTGTGATGGGATGAGGTGAGGTAAGTGTGAGATGGGATGAGATGAGGTAAGTGTGCGATGGGATGAGATGAGGTAAGTGTGAGATGGGATGAGATGAGGTAAGTGTGTGATGGGATGAGGTGAGGTAAGTGTGAGATGGGATGAGGTGAGGTTAGTGTGTGGTGGGATGAGGTGAGGTCACTGTGTGGTGGGATGAGGTCAACCTAATGCTATGCTGCTATGGTTCTTTGGGAGGAGGACACGTGGCAAGGCACCATCGCAAGGTGAACTCATGCTTCACGTCTCGCATTCCATTCTCTGTTCTTTCTCCACTTCCCCTTTCTATTTCCTGCTGCTCTACATGTCCTTTTGTCCAGTCAGTCTGCCATAGGACTTTCTTAGCCATATTCTCATGTCGATTTGTCATACGAGATTCTTGCGGTCACTTTCCAAGTGGTCATTGCCATGTTTCTGGCCACTTCCCTCTGCCTCAACTTGTCAAATGTCCTGCATGGTTTCCTTTGGCATTTTCCCTGTTCATTGCCCATTCACATTTTGTTTAATCAACCCGCCATTGCAATTGTCAAGTCAGCTTGCAATTGACATTTTCCAGTCATGCCATTTTTTAGTCATATTGCCATTTTCCAGTCATATTGCCATATTGTTGATCTTGCCAGATTCTGATACCCATTTTCCTGATAATTTTCTATCACCATTTGTTGAAATGGGTATGTTGTCACCTGCCCTGCCAGATTCTCATCTTCCATCTTCCCATTCAAATGCCCATTGCTTGCCATTTGTTCTCCTGCCAAATTCTCAATGTCATGTTGTACAGTCAAATGTGTAGCGCCATTCTCTACCTAATGCTGTTTCATACCTATTTCATAAAACCTAATGCATCAGCCATGCAAGTCAATGCATGTCAGCCAACGCATGTCATGCCATGGCATTGACATCTCAGTCGCAGGCATGGCATCCCCCCACTGACAGGTATAAGGTAGTGAGGGCACGGTGGGTGGACCATGAGGCGTAGATGGTTCACGGTGGGGATAGATTGGCAGAGAGAAAAGGCAGGATGAGGGATGAGATGAGAGGCATCTGTTTGGTCAGTTGTGCCTTCTACTAGTATGTGTCATGCCATGGCAATGGCAATCTCAGTCGCAGGCATGGTGGAAGGCAGAGAGGGTATGGTGGGTGGAGCATGAGGCATGTCACGGATTGTGCAAGGTGGAATGGCAACGAGAATTGGAGGTGGAGACATATGTTTTGTACGATAAGTTGTGCCATTTACTGGTGCCTTTGGAGGACTCACCATGGCATGCTGTCATTCCAGCCTGTGTGGTGTGTGTGACTGCTGTCCCCACTTGGAGGTAATCGTCTCAGAGAGGAAGAATTGAGTGTGGTGCAATTCCACTTGTAAGCCATGCAACTGTCAAAGCGTCTAGCAGGAAACGGGCTTTCCTGTAGTCAAATCACCGCGGCTAGTTTTCGAGGCCAGAAACATACAGCTACTGCGACTCACCACCTGTTTCCCTCATGACATGGTGTGAAAGACTGTAATCTCATAAATAACCCCCCTCCTCCCTCCATGCCATTGCCAACCCCCACGTATGTGCTCACTATTGGCCTGTATATAGTTATTCCCCCCCCCCGGCTGGAGGGAAAAATAGACGAGACCTCCCATGTACTGGTACAATTCTGATTTTTGTGAATCAGCCACAGAAGTGACACCGGGCAAATGCAATAGGCTGGAAACATTCTCGTCGCAGCCACCTACATTCATGCCTAAGATATAATGTGCAACCAATTGTGAGATATCATTTCACACCTTTTTCTTTCAACTAATATATAATGAAACTCTTGGGTCTCATCTCAAACCCTGTATATGGGTTCGATGTTCTGTTGGCATAAGCCTAGTGTACCACATTGAGCCAGTAGCGTTTATCGGGTATCTCAAACACATGGTCGGATATGGCACCCATGCTGCTTGCTCACCACCATGCCATGCCACCCACACCGCACCGCACCATAATGTGCGTGGCTCAAGGCAGCAACAGTCGTCGCTGCGAAAACGTCAAGCTTCGGCGGTAACAGATGGCAGTCACTTGAGCAATTCAAGAGTAACGGATGCAACGCCACTGGCGCTGCGCTCAGTCATGGCAGCATTGCTTCCTTCCGTTCCGCACATAGTTGCGAACTTGCCTGCTGCCAAGGGAAGGTCCCCGCCATTGCAAAGACGGGAATCGCCGCGGCGCGTGTGGCATGTGTTGTGACGTCTGTGGCTGCGAGCAAGCCAATGCGTCGGCGAGCTGCGATGTTGTCGCTGCTGCACCCTGCAGCAAAGAGTGGTGGAGGCCAGGAGTCCTCCCGCATTCTAATCTCTCACACTGTTATTCCAAGACCGACTCTGAACGATTTTTATTTCCCGCCGAATCTGCCCCGCCAAGCCTTCCACGATTAGGAACTTAACCTGGAAAACGGGTGTCCGGCCGGGCTAGTGCGGAGACGATTCGGTGGAAACCAATCGCGCGTCGAGCCATTGCGTTGCGGTGATTATAACCACGAGCGCTGCGACCGCGCCCAAGACCGGTGGTAACCCTAAATCGTTCACCCACGATGGCTGCATCCAGCGGCTTGCCATTCAACCCTTTGAACGGCGTCAACGGAGTCAACACGATCAACGCTTCCTCCGACGCTCTCCGCGTTCGCCCGCCAGCAGCGCTCTCCTGCTCGCTTTCGCACGGCCTGTCGCTCTCGCTGCTCTCCTCGCTGACTGCCACGTGGCAGCACGGCAGGCACCGCCTTCGAGCCAGGTGAGGCAGTTACCGTTGCACCTCTACTCTGCCTCTTGCCCCCTTCCGTCCATTCCCCTCTGCCGACTCTACCCCCCCGCCGTCCATTCCCCTCTGCCGACCCTACCCCCCCGCCATTCATTCCCCTCTGCCGACCCTACCCCCCCGCCGTCCATTCCCCTCTGCCGTCCGTTGCCTCCTGCCGTCCGCCCTTGTCTCGTATGCCTACCTACTAATCCCCTCCCGTCGATTTCCCTGCAGTACATTGAGCTCATCTCAGTCGTTGGATGAGCCATCGTGGAAGAAGGCTCAATCTGGGTCGTTGCTGGAGGTGGGTAGCTTGGTGGCTGGGTGGGTGGTTGGGTGGGTGGGTGTGTGGGTGGGTGGCAAGGCAAAGCATGGTGGTAGAGCCGGTGGGTGGCGATATTGCAAACCGCATCCGTGCCTTCATAGTACGAGTTTAGCCTCTTGGAGTTGGACCGTGCCAACAGCACCGCTGCCACACTCAGCAGCTTCAACCTCTCTCGTCAATCCAGCCCCCTGCTTTCATCACCACACTATCTCCTCTCCCCCTATGCCTATCCCCCTTTTGCCTTTTTCCTTCCTGATCCGATGCTTGAGTCGTCGCCCTATCAGGCTACAGTACCATCCCCCATCCCCTTTCCGCTCTCCACATGTCCCGTCCTCGTCTCTCTTCTCCTGCCACCATTCAAGAATCCCCTCAGGACCAGTTTCCGCGCATCCCCTTTCCTCTTCCCCCTCCCGTTTTTCCCTTTCCCCTTTCTCCTTCCCGTTCCTCATTACCCCCTCCGATTCCCCATTTCCCCCTCCTCTGTGCACCCTTCCCCCAATGCGCCGCAGCGCTTTCCCCTGAAGGCGGCAGCAACGGCGAGCGGGCTGGCCCTAGCAGGCGACACGCTGGCGCAGCTCGTGGAGCGCCGCAGCCGCCAGCAGCAGCAACAGAAGCAACAGCAGCACGAGCACGGCAGCCATCGCCGCCACCACGCGGATGCGCGCTGTGCTGCCGCCACGGCACCGCATGATCAGCACGTGGTGCCAGCAGGCGAGGGGGCGGGGGAGGGGGAGGGGGTGGGGGTGGGGGTGGGGGTGGGGCAGCACGACTGGGTGCGAGCGGTGCGCATGGCGTCGTACGGCTTCCTGCTGTACGGCCCCGGCTGCCACGCCTGGTACCGCTGGCTTGACCGCCTGCTGCCCGCCCCCACCGCCTCCAACTTCGCCCTCAAGGTGCGCCCCTCCCCTCTCTCGCTGTACTGTGTGGGACCAGGGGTACCCCGGGGGTACCGGAAGCTGGACTGACTGCCTGCGGCTGCCCGCTCACTCACACGGAGCTCGTCTCAAAGCGGGTCCAGCCCTGCTCTGCTCTGCTCGCAAAGCGCCTCCTCGCACTCGCTATGAGCAGCTCCCATGTGCCGCACCTCATCGATGTAGCTCCCATGTGCCGCACCTCATCGATGTAGCTCAACTCTGCCATGTGGCTTTCGTAGCAACTGTGGGTACCAGTGGCAGTGGCAGTGGCAGTGGCAGTGGCAGTGGCAGTGGCGGTGAATGGAAGCACACCGCACCAAGAGCCAAAGCACACCGCACCAAGAGCCAAAGCACACCGCACCAAGAGCCAAAGCACACCGCACCAAGAGCCAAAGTCACCACCAGCAAAGCGCACCCTCGCCTTGGCGTCCCTCTTCCTGCTGCTCCTCCTCCCCGTCTCCCACCCCCCCTCGTCAGGTGGTAGCGAATCAGGTGGTGGTGGGGCCGAGTGTGCTGCTGGTGGTGTTCGCATGGAACATGGCGTGGATGGGTCGGGCCAGGGATATCCCAGACAAGTACCGTCGAGACTTCTTCCCCTCGCTCATCAAGGGTACGTTGGTTGACTCCCGTCTCGTTTGGTAGAATAGTGTCTTCGTGGTAGCTAGTTTTCCACTGCTCTTTCATGTTTGTAGCTTGATAGATTTTTGCAGTTACCATCAATAAGTACTCCTTTCAACCCCTTGGTACTCCTGTGTGCGTCTCCTCAGCCCTCTGTTGCTGAGCATGTAAGCTGTTCCAAGCAGTACCATACTTATTTCTGAAATGAAGCATGTGGCTCGCCATGTCTCTTGGTGCATGCCCACGCCATCAGGCTACAAGTTCTGGATACCTGCCACCTGCCTCAACTTCGCGTAAGCCTCATCTTGCCTTGCCTCCCCTTCCTCCCCTTCCCTCCCCTTCCTCCCGTTCCTCCCCTTCCCTTCCCTTCCCTCCCCTTCCCTCGCCGTTCTCTCGCTTGCCCTTCATCTCCCCCTGTCCTTCTCCAAATCTCTGTACTTTCAATTCCTCATTCCTCCTGCCACCAATGTTTGTAGTCCGTTATTTTTCTTCAACCACATGACCCATTGCCTGCCCACGTCTGCTGCTCTCCCTGCTTCCATCCCCCATCACTGCTCCGTTTCCTCTCCCTCGTCATTCCCTTTACAGAGTGGTGCCATTAGAGGCACGGGTGGCCTTCATGTCATGCTGTGCCATCTTCTGGAACTTCCACCTCTCCTCTTCACTTGGCACGGAGGCACCTCGCCCCGCACCGCAACGCACATCTCGTCCTGCTGCGCCTCTCTCTGCTCCTGCTTCATCTCCTGATTATTCTCCTGCCGCCACGGCTTCTGCTGGTTATCAAGTGTTGGCTGCACCTTCTGTGTAGTTCACAAAATGGGGGACTTACCTATGTGCTAATAATAAAAAGGGGGCTGTAAATAAATTAAACCTCAGGGCCATTCTTTTCAGTGGCGTTTGCGGTGTAAGCTTTAAAAAAATGTTTAGGTTCAAAGCTCGCTATAGATGCTGGTCGTTTCCTCAGATGTTTCGCTAAACCCACTTACGTTCACACATTTCTAAGCCTATTTGGAAGCCACTAGAACAAATTGTTTATTTTTTTGGGAAGGAGCAATAGGATTTCTGTAGATAAAAACATCAAATTTCCTAGAGCAAGCAAAGAAGTTGAAGCTAAATACAGCGCGCCTGGGCGCGTGAAAAGAATGATTCCATATCGCGTACAGTAGGAACATTGTGCTTTCAGTGCTGCGCATTTTATGTTGCGTATATTGAGATAGCTGTGGCTAGCAACCTCACAGCAACGGCATCAGATTAGTCCGTCCGCACGGGTTTCTTCCACCTAAGGTCTCCGCGAGTCTCAAAATTGCCGCGCGCGGGGGGCTTCGAGGGGCATTCCGCCCATCATGGCTCCCGCTGCCGCTGTTGCTCCCGCGCTGCCCGCTGTAGCGAGACCGCTCGCTACTGGCGCTCCCGTCTGCGAGGCAACTTCGCTCCGATATACGAACATCTGTTTGCGCAGCAGTGCTGCGTTCCGCGCAGGCGCTCCGCAGATTGAGCTCAGTTGGCGCAGTCGGGTCATTCGGCGCGGGGCTAGTGCGGGCGTGCGCGTGCGCGCGCGCGGGGGGGAGGACGGCGGCGGGCAGCGGAAGGGGAAGCAGGGCCCGACTTTTGGCGATCAAATCCTTGACTATATCGAAGGTGCGCTTAACGAGCGATCGAATCTTCGGGGTACCGGGAGGGAGGATGGAAATTGAGGAGCTCACTTAGTGTTCCCCTCCGCTCGCGTCAGCATGACCAGAAAAGGAGGACAAACCTGCAACGCCACGGCCTTCAGGCTTCAGCTGACGTCATGCATTCCACAGGCATGAGGTGTAACGAGTGAGGCAGTTTCTCTCAATCCCGCCTCCTTTCCTCCATGAGCACTCCCCATGCGAATTCCCCATGCCCGTCCATCCCATCTTGCCTCCCAATGAGAAAACTCCTATGTCATAACACTTCCTTTCTACTTCCTCCCTCCCCCCCCCACCACCACCACCACCACCGCTTCCCCTGCACTGTATCCGCCTCCCATCTCCCGTGCCGCTCCCCCATCCCTTCCCCGCGCTGCTCTCATCCGCCATTCCCCCTGCCCCTCCGCGCCCAACCCCCCTCCCATCCCCTCCCCCCCACCACGCGCGCATGGTGTGGTGTGGCTACCATACCAGGCGGCCCAAAGCTGCGGCGGTGGTACGGCGCAGCCGACACTCTGCCCAGGGATGGCGCTGGTGAGGCATGGGCGGGGATACAGTGCGGTGGGGTGGTGTTGAGAAAGGGAAAGGCAGAGTTGGGTGGGGCGGCGGAGTGAGTGTGCGGGTGTGGGTGGCAGGGTGGGTGGCAGTGCTGTGAAGCATGCTGGCTGCGGCTCACCTGTGCTGTGCTGGCTTTTGACAACTCTCCCCAGTGGACGCGTCTCACTGTCTTGCTGCACCTGTGTTGTGCACTCACCGCTCACCCCTCACCGCTCACCACTCACCACCGCTCACCGCCGCCCCGCTTCTATCCCCAATCTCCCATCGCCCCTGCACCCGCTTCCATGTTTGCACTCCACCTGCATTCCACACAGACGAGGACGAGGAAGGCGAGGAGACGGAGGAGGAGGGGGAGGAGGGAGAGGAGGGAGGGGATGCAGTGTTGGTTACGGATGCTGACTCGGACACAGGCCAGGTGATTCTCAGGTGATTCTCAGGTATCTGTTGAACTTTGGATGCTGTACTCAGGTGGCTTCGTGTCGATGCTCTCACCAGCCTTGCCCTTGAGGTGGTTAGGTGATTGTATCATAGGGGGGGGGAGACAGGGAGGAGGGGGGAGTAGCTGTTTAAATGATAAGATGTGGCGCGTATCATACCAGATGACGTGCGGCCTGGAATGGAATCCCTCTTCAGAGCTGCCCGACGCCACTTGTGTGGCTCCCCTCCCACTCTTGCCCTCCTGCAATGACCGACGGCGCACGACTGCTCTTTCCCTCCCTCACGCTCTTGCATCTCATCCACATGCTGTTGCATCTCATCCCACCATGCCGTACGTTGCATCTCATCCCACCATGCCGTACGTTGCATCTCATCCCACCATGCCGTACGTTGCATCTCATCCCACCATGCCGTACGTTGCATCTCATCCCACCATGCCGTACGTTGCATCTCATCCCACCATGCCGTACGTTGCATCTCATCCCACCATGCCGTACGTTGCATCTCATCCCACCATGCCGTACGTTGCATCTCATCCCACCATGCCGTACGTTGCATCTCATCCCACCATGCCGTACGTTGCATCTCATCCCACCATGCCGTACGTTGCATCTCATCCCACCATGCCGTACGTTGCATCTCATCCCACCATGCCGTACGTTGCATCTCATCCCACCATGCCGTACGTTGCATCTCATCCCACCATGCCGTACGTTGCATCTCATCCCACCATGCCGTACGTTGCATCTCATCCCACCATGCTGTACGTCGCAACCAGCACGGCCAAACAAGCCTTATGGTCTCCTCGCACGTCTCTCTGTGCTGTTCGCCCCCTCACTTCCCGCCCGCCCTCCCACCTCACTGCTCAGCTCATCTCAGTGCGGACCGAGCGAGTGAGCCTACTAGTGCAGCGGCCTGTGCCCGTGAGCTGCATTCCCTACCACCCTCACGCCTCCATCCCCCACCGCGCTGCTCCCACTGCCTCCCCCCCTGCCGCACAACACATGGGGGTGCAGAAGCTCATCGCAGCACATGGGGGTGCGGAAGCTCATCGCAGCACATGGGGGTGCGGAAGCTCATCTTGGCGTGCACGAGGCTGGCCGTGCCCGGGACGGACATGTGCCTGTGACGGACATGTGCCCGGGACGGACATGTGCCTGTGACGGACATGTGCCTGTGACGGACATGTGCCTGTGACGGACATGTGCCTGGGACGGACATGTGCCTGTGACGGACATGTGCCTGTGACGGACATGTGCCTGTGACGGACATGTGCCTGTGACGGACATGTGCCTGTGACGGACATGTGCCTGTGACGGACATGTGCCTGTGACGGACATGTGCCTGTGACGGACATGTGCCTGTGACGGACATGTGCCTGTGACGGACATGTGCCTGTGACGGACATGTGCCTGTGACGGACATGTGCCTGTGACGGACATGTGCCTGTGACGGACATGTGCCTGTGACGGACATGTGCCTGTGACGGACATGTGCCTGTGACGGACATGTGCCTGTGACGGACATGTGCCTGTGACGGACATGTGCCTGTGACGGACATGTGCCTGTGACGGACATGTGCCTGTGACGGACATGTGCCTGTGACGGACATGTGCCTGTGACGGACATGTGCCTGTGACGGACATGTGCCTGTGACGGACATGTGCCTGTGACGGACATGTGCCTGTGACGGACATGTGCCTGTGACGGACATGTGCCTGTGACGGACATGTGCCTGTGACGGACATGTGCCTGTGACGGACATGTGCCTGTGACGGACATGTGCCTGTGACGGACATGTGCCTGTGACGGACATGTGCCTGTGACGGACATGTGCCTGTGACGGACATGTGCCTGTGACGGACATGTGCCTGTGACGGACATGTGCCTGTGACGGACATGTGCCTGTGACGGACATGTGCCTGTGACGGACATGTGCCTGTGACGGACATGTGCCTGTGACGGACATGTGCCTGTGACGGACATGTGCCTGTGACGGACATGTGCCTGTGACGGACATGTGCCTGTGACGGACATGTGCCTGTGACGGACATGTGCCTGTGACGGACATGTGCCTGTGACGGACATGTGCCTGTGACGGACATGTGCCTGTGACGGACATGTGCCTGTGACGGACATGTGCCTGTGACGGACATGTGCCTGTGACGGACATGTGCCCGTGACGGACATGTGCCTGTGATGGACATGTGCCTGTGACGGACATGTGCCTGTGACGGACATGTGCCTGTGACGGACATGTGCCTGTGACGGACATGTGCCTGTGACGGACATGTGCCTGTGACGGACATGTGCCTGTGACGGACATGTGCCTGTGACGGACATGTGCCTGTGACGGACATGTGCCTGTGACGGACATGTGCCCGTGACGGACATGTGCCTGTGACGGACATGTGCCTGTGACGGACATGTGCCTGTGACGGACATGTGCCTGTGACGGACATGTGCCTGTGACGGACATGTGCCTGTGACGGACATGTGCCTGTGACGGACATGTGCCTGTGACGGACATGTGCCTGTGACGGACATGTGCCTGTGACGGACATGTGCCTGTGACGGACATGTGCCTGTGACGGACATGTGCCTGTGACGGACATGTGCCTGTGACGGACATGTGCCCGTGACGGACATGTGCCCGTGACGGACATGTGCCTGTGACGGACATGTGCCTGTGACGGACATGTGCCTGTGACGGACATGTGCCTGTGACGGACATGTGCCTGTGACGGACATGTGCCTGTGACGGACATGTGCCTGTGACGGACATGTGCCTGTGACGGACATGTGCCTGTGACGGACATGTGCCTGTGACGGACATGTGCCTGTGACGGACATGTGCCTGTGACGGACATGTGCCTGGGACGGACATGTGCCTGTGCTGCGCCTCATTCTTCCCTCCCCTCCCCTCCCCTCCCCTCCACTCCCCTCCCCTCCCTTCCATCCCCTCCCCTCCCCTCCCCTCCCCTCCCCTCCCCTCCCCTCCCATCCCCTCCCCTCCCCTCCCCTCCCTTCCATCCCCCCCCCTCCCCTCCCCTCCCCTCCCCTCCACTGTCCTCCAATCCACTCCCCTTTCTTCCCCTCCCCTCCCTTCCCCTCCCCTCCCCTCCCCTTTTCCCTCCTCCCCTCCCTCCCCCTCCCACAGATGGTGGTGCTGCAGCACATCGTGGCATGCAGGAGGGCAAAGGAGAGAGTGCTCTGAGCGGCATGTGCCAGGAGTGTGCTGTGAGCGGCATGTGCCAGTAGTGTGCTCTGAGCGGCATGTGCCAGTAGTGTGCCTCAACCTCTCCCACCCTCCGCTCCACTCCCCCACCCCGTCTCCCCACCTCTCTGGCAGATGGTGGTGTTGCAGCTGATATTGGCGCGCAGGAGGGTGAGGGTGCTCGTGAAAGACGCCAAGGAGGCCACTGCTGGATTCGGGCCCTACGTGCAGGTCAGTCTGTGATGGGTACTGGAGGGTGCTGGTGGGTATCATTGGGTGCTGACGGTTGCAAACCATAGTCGTCAGCATGGCAAGCACCTATCAAGCGTTCATTCCCCACAGTGGTTCCTCCTTCTCCTTCCCTTCTTCTCAACCTGTGCCCTTGTCTCTCGTTTTCCCCAAACGCCTCAACTACTTCCCACAAACCATGATCCCAACCGTCACTCTCTCGCTCCCTTGCCTCCCCATGCGCGCCATCCCACCACCATGCACGGCACGGCAGCCCATAGCAGGGTCGGTGGGGGACCAAGCAGCAGTGCGGGCTGCGCTCAGGGGCAGTCAGGCAGTCATCGTCACGGGCCGGGTGGGTCGCGCCCAGCACCACACCACATGCTCAATGCCTCTAGCCACTTCACTCCCACTTCCCTCGCTACCCCGTCCCCCCCGTCGTTCAAACTTCAATCCTCCCTCTGACTCATCCCCATCCCCGCTGCCTTGCTGTGCCTCATCCCTCAGCATTCCCACACTGCTCTCGGCCTTGCTTTCTGTCACGTCTCTCGCACTCACGCCTTTCTGCTCTTTGCTTGTCTCTAGCTCCTATAACCCTGTGCCTCCTTCCTGCCTTCACCTCTTTTGCCGCCGCTGCCTTTCCCTGTCCCCCTGCTGCTTCAATCAGCTGGGATCGCTGGCACAACTGCTACAGGGGAGCAAAGCGGATCATGTGGTGCTCGTATCCCAAGTGAGTTGGTGGGTGGCTGGGCGGGTGGAGGGTGGAGCACGTGGTGCTCGTACCACAAGTTATCAAACTGTGCAGCAACATGTGTTATGCAAGTGGTTCGAGTGGGTTTGGACAGCGCAGGTTCCTTTTCCAGGCGACACAATTGTCGCAGTAAGTATTCCAGGCGCAACAGGCACACGATTGTCGCGCAACAGGCACACGATTGTCGTGCAACAGGCACACGATTGTCGCGCAACAGGCACACGATTGTCGCGCAACAGGCACACGATTGTCGCCCAACAGGCACACGATTGTCGCGCAACAGGCACACGGCCGGAAGCCGGAAGCTGGGCAAGTGTGAAAGAGTCGCCTGTAGCGCCACTGGAGAAACAAACAAGCAGCAATTTCCATCTCCTTCATAAGCTTGATTGCTTGATTGCTTGATTGCTCCTTCCTCTCCATCACCCTTCCTGCCCTCTCTGTCCCATCCGCCCAACAACCGTTCTGTGACCCATCTGTCCGCCACTCTTTCCCTCCTCCGCTCTCTCATGACTTCGCACCCCTTGCACCTCCCCATCTTACCCCGCCCTCCCATCACGCCAGCTGGGGGCTTCGTCGCGCCCATCAGGTCTGGCGGGGCTGCTCTGGTCTGCATCTCCGCTCGCAGCAGCGGCAGACGCCGAGGCAGCTCTGGCTGTTGCTGCTGTGGCGGCAGGTGTTGACGGGGAGAGGGGAGCAGCAGGGGAGGCGCGGCATTGGGGGTTTGGGTGCACGGTGGTGCGAGGGGGGAAGGTGGTGGATGAACCTGGCCGGCAGAGAGGGCTGCTGCTGGGGCAGGTGAGGAGTGGGGCAGGTGAGGAGTGGGGCAGGTTAGGATTGGGGCGTGTGAGCAGAGGGGCAGGTGAGAAGAGGGGTGTGAGGGGTGTCGTTCCCTCTCCACTTTCCTCTTCTCTGTCTCCTCGTCTCCCCGTCTTCCTCCTCTCCTCATCCTGTCTCTCTTCCACTTCTCCCAGGGTTTCGCCCCTGACGTTTCGCCCCTGACGTTTTCCCTGCGATCCCGCATCTGCTGGTCACATCAGGCGGAAACATGTTTCTTTCGTGGTTTAGCTTCCCACCTTTCCACTCTTCTTTATTTTGTCTCCTGCTCTTCTCCTCTCTTCCCCTCTCCACTGCCCACCACCATCCCACGAGGCAACACTCAAGGGAAAGCGCTACGCACGCAGATCCAGCAGCTCTTGTGTGCCTCCCAGCCCGCGATGCCTTCCCCTCCCTCCCCCGTCCATCAAGGCAGGACGACACAGTGAAAGGCGGCATATCCCCTGTGCCTGCTGTTGCAGTGGTCGTGACGGCGGCATCGCCTGCTGTTCTTCCTCCCCTCCTCATCGAGCACACGAAGAAGCAGCCAAAGCTTCCAGCTCCCATGGTCTCATTTTGTCGCGCCTCTTGCTGCCCTCCCCCCACCATGCCCCCAGGGCGACACCACGAGGGGCAGTGTGTCGTGGGAGGATCTGGCACCCCGCACACCCCGCACACCCCCTCTCTCTTCCTCACTCGCCTTTGCGTTGTCTCTCCGCTTATCCTCTCACCATCCCCCCAGGGCGACGCCATGAGGGGCAGCGTGTCAAGGGAGGATCTGGCAGCCGTGGTGGCGGCAGCACTGGCAGTGCCACCGCCCGTCCAGCAGAGACGCATCATTGAGGTGGGCGTGTTGGTGGGGTGGGGAGAGTGTTGGGTTTGGTGGGTGTGTGGGTGGGGTGGGGAGAGTGTTGGGTTTGGTGGGTGTGTGGGGAGGTGGGTGGTGGGTGGGTGGGTTGTGTGGGAGAAGTGGTGTGTGTGGTTGAGAGGGGTGTGTGTGGGAGGTGGGTGCGTGGTGAAGGTGAGTGTACATGGGTGTGTGTAAGTGTTAGTGCGTGTAGCCTGGAAATTATTCTCAGGGTGTAGGTGAGCAAACACTTGCACGTTTCTATCGGCAAAGCACACCGAGAAGAGAAGCAGTGGTGGGAATGCCATGGTCCATCAAGAGCCATTCCTCACCCCTTAACCCCCGTCCCCACTCCCCCCGTCCCCACTCCCCCCACCCTTCCTCACCCGTCCCCACTCCCCCCGTCCCCACTCCCCCCGTCCCCACTCCCCCGCCCTTCCTCACCCGTCCCCACTCCCCCCGCCCTTCCTCACCCGTCCCCACTCCCCCCGCCCTTCCTCACCCGTCCCCACTCCCCCCGCCCTTCCTCACCCGTCCCCACTCCCCCCGCCCTTCCTCACCCGTCCCCACTCCCCCCGCCCTTCCTCACCCGTCCCCACTCCCCCCGCCCTTCCTCACCCGTCCCCACTCCCCCCGCCCTTCCTCACCCGTCCCCACTCCCCCCGCCCTTCCTCACCCGTCCCCACTCCCCCCGCCCTTCCTCACCCGTCCCCACCCCCCCCGCCCTTCCTCACCCGTCCCCACTCCCCCCGCCCTTCCTCACCCGTCCCCACTCCCCCCGCCCTTCCTCACCCGTCCCCACTCCCCCCGCCCTTCCTCACCCGTCCCCACTCCCCCCGCCCTTCCTCACCCGTCCCCACTCCCCCCGCCCTTCCTCACCCGTCCCCACTCCCCCCGCCCTTCCTCACCCGTCCCCACTCCCCCCGCCCTTCCTCACCCGTCCCCACTCCCCCCGCCCTTCCTCACCCGTCCCCACTCCCCGCTTTTCTCCCCTCTTCGCTTCCCTCGTCTATCCCCTTTTTTTCTTTCTCTGCGATAGAATTTGCCACAATACTCATTTTCCTTGCTGATCGCTGCACCCAAGCACCTCTCGCCAGCAGACCTGCAGGGCACTATTATACACCTCTTGCTCTCCCTCCGGCCCGTGTCTCTCCCATCCAAGGTGGTCAACTCCGATACTCCAAGGGACTCCAACGATGGATATGATTTCTCGGAACAAATAGCTGGGCTCAAGACAGAGCCAATCCTAACCTGACACGTGGATACCACACACCCTTCTTGCGGACGAAATATATATTGTGTGCAGAATGTTCTTTTATTTATGTTCCAATGACGTCTGGTAGTGCAGCCGCTACCGTCATCGCCCGGATAGAAGACATATATGTCTTATCTTATACATTAGAAAAAAAGCTTGTTGTGTCTTGTAATTGGGACGGTTTAGGGTGTCTTATATTTCTTATAAATGGACAAAAAACCGTTTAGAAGATACCCCCTAGTCATGAGATTGCCCCTAATCCCTGTACTACTGGCTTAACTTGTACACACCAACAGTTGTCTTATAATCAGGAACACCCATCTATAAGAAACACCCGTTTTAACGACACCCCATGTCTTCAATTCGACAAAGTCTTATATCCGGGCAATGACGGTAGTCTACTAGATGGGGCTGCGGTATCGTGCTGCGGACGGTGGAGAATGTGGTTAGGTATATGCCATGCTACCGTATGGCCCCGGATATAGGCGCCGGCCTATTACAGGCGCCGACGCTTCTATCTGGAGCATGGCGCTTATGGCCGATCCTCGATTATAAGCGCCACCCCTTTTGTACCCTTCCTTATTATAAGCGCCACCCTCAATATTAACACTTTTTTTACCACCACAACAAAAGCAAACAACAACTATAACATCGTTCGCTTCAACGAATACTACAAGTTGGTACACAATTTTAGACTTAATCTGCTATTCTACCTAGGTGCTAGTACCGGAACTACTCGTCAGACTCGGGCTCCTGGCAGTTGTTGCCAAAGAATCCGTCGGCGATGATGCCGTCGTCTACATCCACTTCCGCCGTCAGTTGGCTCCGCCTGTGCGCCATGGCGAGGTGGTCCTCACTGCCGTCAAGCGCGTTGCTAATGCCGCAGGTGAGGAAGGCGCGCTTGACGAGGTCGGAGGGTACTGCTTTCCAGGCTTGTGAAATCCATCGAAGGACCACTTCTGGGGGGGGCTTCTTCAGATTCCGTGCACCGCAACAGAGACACCCGGGAAAGCCATGTCAGTGACCAAGGGTGAAAGGGGGATAAACATGCGTGTTTAACGGAAACAACGTACCTGCAGCTGTCAGTTGCTCTTGGCCCTCCTCCTGAAACCACTTCTGGTACTGCTGACGAACAGATGCTTTGAAGCTCTTGTTGATGGAGACGTCGAGTGGCTGAACCTCACCCGTACAACCCGACGGGATGACAGCAGGCACGCAGTTGATCTCGCGGAGCTTCTCCTTCACCCCCTCGGTAAGGTGGCCGCGGTAGGAATCCAGCATGAGCATAGAGCTCTTCGCACACCTGCCAAATCGGGGCTTCAAGAAGGGCTTGACACACTCCTCAAGCCAGCGGATGACGCCTTCTGCGTTCATCCACCCATTCTTGTGGCAAGCCACGACCACATCTGCACACAAAAATGGCACTTAAACTGTTAGCGCGGCATGAGAAACGATACGGTAAGACAGCGGCAGTTGCTACTTATTACCAGGAGGAAAGTTGCCCTTCGGCAGCGCCTTCCGCTTGAAAAATACCCACGGCTTGAGCTTCGCCCCGTCGCCAGCATCACGGTCACACGCTCCTTCTGGTAACCTGCACTCCGGATGGGCACCGACCATACGCCCGTCTGATCCACGGTCGTGGTGGCGGGCATCTCCAGCCAGAGCGGCGTCTGGTCAGCGTTGAGGATCCAGCATGGCTCGATGCTGCGCGCGCGACGCATGTGTCGGACAAAACGCCAGAATTTCTGGCACTGCTCCGCAAGATATGTGAGACGGGGGAAAGCGGGCGGGATAGACGGCAGTTTAGTAAGTGAACCTGAAACTTAGACATAAAAGCAAGGGGTGTAATCTTACGAGCGGCTGTTTTCTGAGCAACCCGCGTCTTCATGCGGACGCTCAGATTCCACCGCTTCCGAAACCGCTCCGACCATCTCTGAATCCCGCTCCACTTGACGTCCGGGTAGAGGATCTTCATGAACTCCCTCGACCACTCCCGCAGACGGCCGACCGACACGGCGGTTCCTTTGCGGCGCCAGTCCAGGAGCCGCTCGTACACCTTCAACTCCATGGGGCGGTACCACGAGGCCCGCCCGCGACCGTGCATGCGCTTCCGCCCGGAGTGTGCTTCTTTGAGAAACCCCGCTGCCACCTTCCAGTTGGCGAGACACTTCCGGTGAATCCCACACTCCCGAGCTAGTGCGCGCACCGACTTCGCCACATCCAGCATCGCGACGTACTTCAACTTCTCCGCAGCGGTGTAGCCTTTGCGCTTGTGATTGCTGATCTTGTGCCTGGGAGAGGGGGGGCGGGCATCACGGTTCTGGGTAGACGGGTGGGGTCGCTTGCGGTTAGCTGGTGGAAAGGAAGGTATCGGCAGTTCCTCGGGGAGCCCGTCACATGACCAGTACTCGACACCGTCGTCGTCGTCGCCACCAGGTACGCCCTCAGGAAACACATCCTCTGCGGTGCCGCCCTGCGCGCCACCTTCCTCAGCCTCGTCGCCGTCAGCACGGCTCGCTTCCTCGTCCTCAGCTGCGAGTGCAGATTCGTCCCACGTGGTGCAATCATCGGGCCGGCCCCAACGTGGTCCAGGGTAAGGTGCGCCGGGTACCTCAACATCTTGGGCCTTGTTGCTTTCCGGTTCCTCCACCCACTCGTCGAACGCAGTCGAGAGCAGGAGCGTGAGCACGGGCGGATCCCCTGTGTTGTGAGGACATCCCAGAATCAGAGGAGACGGAGGAACAGTAGGAGCAGGAGGCGCAGGCGGCAAAGGAGGAGCAGGAGGAGCAGGCGGCGCAGGAGGCGATGGAGGCTGTGGTGGCTCTGGTGGTTCAGGTGGGACACGGGAGTACCATCCGTCGGCGTCGACTACGAAGGCGGGCCTACGCGCGGGCTTCTTTTTTAACAAGAAATGAGTGCCAACGAATTCCGCCATGGCTTCCGCAGCATGGCGGGCGAGACCAAGAATCTGAATGAAAAAAGTGAAAGAGAAGGAGAAGAAATGAGGGTTTGGAGGGGACCCCTTTGTCAAACATGATATATATTGTTGTAGTTGTTTAGGCTACAGTGGGTTAGCCTATAGGGGGTTCACATTTCTAGGTTTTCCTACTTGTACTCATTTCACTGCTAGTTCATTCATCCTTGTTCAACATGGTATAGAGCAGGTCCTTCCTAGGACCGATTTTTTTAGGGCCCACCACTACCTACCTACCTACCTACCTACCTACCTACGCCCTAGGGCGCCTCGGCTTTCACGCCCCTAGAGGCCCCGTCGGCCCCGCGCTCGTGTACCTTAGAGGCCCCGAATCGGCCCCGCGCTTACCCCTAGAGGCCCGAATCGGCCCCGCGTTCGCTCTTAGAGGCCCACGGCGGCCCCGCGCTTGTCCTTAACGGCCCACGTCGGCCCCGCGTTCGCTCTTAGAGGCCCACGTAGGCCCCGCGCCTGTCCTTAACGGCCCCGAACGGCCCCGCGTTTGCCCCTAGAGGCCCGAATCGGCCTCGCGCTCGCCCTTAGAGGCCCTGTACGGCCCCGCGCTCGCCCTTCAAAGCCCCGAATCGGCCCCGCGCTCGTCCCTAAGGCCCCGGGAGGCCCCGCGTTTTCCCTTACGGCCCCGCGCTCGTTCCTAACGGCCCCGATCGGCCCCGCGCTCGCTCTTAGCAGCCCACGTCGGCCCCGCGCTCGTCCCTAACGGCCCCACCCGCTCCCCGCGCTCGCCTCTATAGGCCCCGAACGAGCAGCCCGAACCGAGCCGCCCAGTCCGACCGAGCCGCCCGACCCGAGCCGCCCAGCCCGAACCGAGCCGCCCAGTCCGAACCGAGCCGCCCGACCCGAGCCGCCCAATCCGAACCGAGCCGCCCGACCCGAGCCGCCCAGCCCTAACCGAGCCGCGCCGCCCGAACCGAGCCGAGCCGCCCTACCTGTACCGAGTCGCGCCGCCCTACCTACCCTGTGCGTACTCCTACTGCTTTTCCTACTGCTGCTACCATGGCTAGCCCTCTTGTGCTAGCCTTCGATGCTGAGGGCCGCCCAGTGAAGTTCGACACTTGGCTTGATGACCTACACCTCTTCCTCCAGCTCACTGCCAAGGAACACATTTCACTGTACGATCACGCCCTAGGCCACGCTACTGCTCCTGCTGCTACTGCTGACAGCACTACCCGCTCACAGTGGCAGACTCGTGACGCCCACGCTCGCTTCGCTATTCGCAACTCTCTGCCGCTAGATGAGCGCGAGCACTTTGGGCAGCACAATACTGCACAGGCACTGTACACTGCTGTCGTTGCCCGCTACTCCTCACCGGCCTCTGCCGCACTAGGCCGTCTCTCTCTTCCCTACCTGTTCCCCGACTTAGCTTCTTTCCACACAGTCGCTGATCTCATTACCCACCTCCGCACTAGTGAGGCTCGCTTCCGCGCCGCTATGCCTGATGAGTTCCTTGCCACGAACCCACCCCCGCTCTGGCTCACTCTCTACCACCTAGTCACGCGCCTCCCTGACACTCTGCGCTCAGTCAGGGACCACTTCCTAGCTCGCTGCCCCACTGAGCTCACCATTGCCCTCCTCGAGAAGGAACTCCTTGCAGCTGAGGCTAGCATAGTCGCTGTAGGTGCCTCTCGTGGTGACCCCCGTACCCCGTTCTTTGAGGGATGTTCTACCTCCCCCCTTCTTCCCTCTGTAGCCTCTGCTGCTGCTGTCGACCTCCTTGGTGCTGAGAAGGTCGGGACTGCGTCTGCTTCGAGCGGGCGCCGCAGCGGCAAGGGCAAAGGGGGCAAGGGTGGTGGTG